CAACAATGTATAGTAATTCTGAATCTTAGCTTAGAAGTACAGAGCACCCAGTAAGGATCAAGTTCATTACTTAATAGAGAACTTGCAGTGAGAATATCTTAGTAGTCTAATGTAAAAGCCCTGCCGGCTACAGCTCTGTCCTGTCTCTCCGGTGGTTCTGCCCGAAAAGTAAACCACCCGGTCCTCCCTTGGTGAATTGAAAGAACCCCCATTATTCGCCACGTTGTGAATTTTTGATCCGAACAGCAGTATTTTGATCCCTCAGAACGATCAGGAGGTAGGATGAATTAAATGGCTGGGCTCCCCGCTGAAAGAAATAACTATTCATACAAAAAAAGTTTCCTGTAGCCGCAAAGACATGAAAAAGAAAAAAAAAAAGCAACTCTTTCAGTAAGAAGGCACTATAATACTTCCATAATTGTTGAGTGGGGTCAACCGGCAAACCAAGATGATGGGGGAGTTTGGACTGTATTTCCAGCAGTACCGCCCTTAGTCGTTCTGGGGTTATTATACTCGGGGATAGGTGTCCCATAGACAGCATATCCAACTGGGCTCTCACATGTTCTAACAGCACTGTTAACGTATGACTGGTTTGGCGCACCCTATTAACTATAGCTAACAACTGGAGATGCTTTAGCAAGAAACCCTCCAGTTCCTGGTACCCAGTTGTTATAGTTGTGGTTCCATTCGCCAGCTCTTGCCTAAGATCATGTAGGTAGGCAATTAACCAATTAATACTCTCTCTGTTCTTAGCCACTTCTAACCTAGTAACATTAAGTATCGATACGCTTTCCTTAACTACCTGGGCCATCAATTGCTGTCGCTGCTCTACCTGCGTCAGCTTCCTCTTGATCAACCTTATCTCATCTTCAGACACCGTGCCAAATAACACACCTAATGCCTTACCTATTATAGGTAAACTGCCCTCGTGTGTCTAGTTCTCAACAACTTAATTCTCTTTAAATAATCGCCCATCGCCCATCTCCTTCCATTGCCTCTCAAGTATTAGGGACTCCTGAGTTAAGGAGTACAACACCAGGTGGTAGTTTAGACCTTGTGAATACTCTCCGGCGACTTGTGTCCTGGCTGTCTCTAACTTATCTACCTCGATCCTTAACTCGGCTAGTAGCAATTTATACGGCTGTAAATCTATCACTAACGTGATTAACCACTTTGATCTAGTTATGATCACCTCGCTCGTCTTCTTAAACACGGTATTTTCACTGTGCTCCCAGGCATTAGCAGCCAAAATCAGTATCACCAGCGCCCAGGGCCTTCTCTCGTCCATGTCTGAAAGAGACGGAGAGAACAGTCTATCTTACATAATTATCTATCTATTTTTTTTTTTTTTTTTCGTTAGACGGCTGCATTGTGGAGTGGCACATCCAGGACCAACCCACACCACCGCCAGCGCCGAGTCCGGGCAGGGGCCCTTCTACGCGGCCTGCATAACGCCGACCACAACTGCACAATCGACCCAAGACTGTCACTCGTTCAACACAACCTCTGCACAGATTTTCTATTTAATCGGCCGACTCGAAAGGCGTTGCTCCTCGCAATCGCAGCTTCGTTATCAGGCGCCTGTTCGGACTGCCATTGATTACGTAATTGAGCTAACGGAATCTCGTCGTCAGGATCCCAATCGCTCGATCCGTCTTCTTCTCCGCCATCACTAGGCTTAATATTCTCTTCCTCAGGGTGCCCAACCGGGAATCGAGTTATCTCCCTCAGCCTCTGAAGGGTAGTGGGACTAATTTCGACCTCCTCGCTAGCTTCACTATCACTTCCTAGTAGTCCTGGTTACACTAGTGTGGTCCTCCTCAGTTTTTTTCTGTTTTGTTTTTATGCCGCACTCTTCCCAGTTTTCTATCTCGGCTAACTTTGTCATTTGCGTGTACTCTTTTCATTTTCCCGGTCAGTTGATCCCATATCACAAAGGACACTGGGCCTGTCTGTTCTACTATTCTATAGTAGGGGCTCCACCTCTTATTCCAGTTTACCGTCTCTCAGGTGTATTTTATAATAGACCGGGTCACCTATATGGAAGGAAACCTCTTCTCTATTCTTATTTATCCTATCATTTCGTTTTTCTGCGCTCTTCGAATTCTTCTCCTCACCTGTGTAAAGATTTTGTGCTGCTGCTCTAAAATTATCCTATGATGGTCCTCTCCTAAGTCTTTCCTCCGCGGCCTTAATAGGTTGTCTATGGGTAAAACCACGTCCCGGCCATATACCAAATAGTAAGGGGAAAACTTGGTCGTTTCGTTCACCGAGGATCTCACAGCTGCTAAGGCCTGGGTTAAAAACAGATCCCAATTCTCCCTATTATGCTCTGCTAATTTAGCCAACACATCAGCAAGAGTCTTATGAAATCTCTCCACCTTAGCGTTACTCTGGGGATGGTATGGGGGAGGTGGTTATGTATTGAATATTTAGTTCTCCCAACGTCTCCCTCATAACCGGATTCACAACATCATTAAACAACTTGGGCCAAGAGTAATTCCTCATTATCAACCCATACGTCTTGTCAATCTTCATGTGTCCTAACTTTCTATGGCACTGATCTAAGATCTCAGACCTCAACTTTTCGGGTATCACCATCTTCAAGCTTACCTCTTCATCTTTCATTGAAAGGTAATACAACACATCATCCTGCAATACATATTTGGAGGTATTTTCTGCCTTTACCCTTGACCTAATGGCTGTTATGTCACTATCCCCTTGACTTTGTCTAACAATATCTATCCAGTGGGGGTCCGTAATGGTCTCTGTTTCACTCGCCTCCTGATCTTCCCAATTAGGTCTCCTTTCTCCATGTGAGTTAATTACATTGATCTGGAAGGCCTTATCGTTCACACCTGGCTCTAACTTGATGGACTCCGTTTCCAACTGTTTCGGTATCCTCGATAGCAAATCAGCACAGGTGTTATCCCTCCTGGCTAGGTACTCTATTTTACAGTTGTACCCACTTAGCTTCAGCGCCCATTGTTGGATCTTTTTGTTCGTCCATTCTGCCTCTAGCAGATATTTGAGGGGCTGGTGGTCTGTCTTAATGGTGAATATTGCCCCGCTCAAATAATAATCCAACTTCTGCACAGCGTACAGGATGGCGAACGCCTCCTTCTCGATCACCGGCCATCTTTGTTGGGTCTCGGAAAGCCGATGAGAAAGGAAATAGATTGGTACCTCTTCAGGCACCCCCGGCACGGGTCCATCCTTATCAGGGCATGGTTGCGTGAGTACTGGCATCAGTGTACAGCACCATGGGCTTACCTAAGTCTTTGGTACGCTAACAAGGGAACAGCTGGTCCTTTAGAGCCTCAAATGCACCCTGGCAATCCTCCGTCCACCTAAACCTGGCGTATTTCTTCGTCAGGGCTATCAGCAGACCCGCCAACCGACTAAATGCGGGTATGAACCTCCTATAATATCCTTTGGCTCCTATAAAACCCCTAATCTCCCTTAGAGTTTTCGGCGCGGGCATGGCCCTTATTATCTCTACCTTACCTAGCTCGGTCTTTATCCCGTCCTTACTTATCACGAACCCTAAGTATTTTGTCCCCTTCTCTCTTAAAAACTGAAATTTTGATAGCTTCAAGCCATGCCTCCTTAGGCGGTCGAACACCCGCTGCAGGTGTTCAAAATGCTCCTCAGGCTATTTCGAAAACACCATAATATCGTCTAGATATGTCATGGCAAACGTCTCCGTGCCATTCAACACTATGGACGAGCTGACTAAACACACCCGGGGCATTTGCCAACCCAAACGGCATAACCCTAAAATTGAAAAGACCCATGTGACAGGTGGACGCGGTCTTTTCTTGGTCCTCCTTGTTCAGGGCCACCTACCAATAACCCGATCTCAAATCCAAGGTAGAAAAACGCTTAGATTTCCCCAGGAGAGCTAAAATGTCGTCAATCAGGGGAAGGATCACTGCTAGCGGTTTTGTAATCGCGTTCAGCTGGCGAAAATCCACACACAGCCTGTGCCCTCCATCTTTCTTTTCAACTATCACGATAGGGAAGCTCCAGGGAGATTTGGATCTCTCAATTATCCCCGAGTCTCATTCACTGCCTCCTCTACTAATTTCCTTTTGTGGATTGGGGTTCTATATGGCCTTAACTTGATAGGTGGGGGTGGTCACCGGTGTCTATCCTCACCTCCACTGTCTCTGTCTATTCTAGCTCCTTATCTCTCATTGCTATTACCTCCCGGTTTCTACTTGGCAAACCCCTTAATTCTCTTCTATAACATTCAGGGACTGTTATGTCCTCGTCCCTTAATTCGCTGATCCCTGTCTTGTTCCGAGACCTATCTTCATTTCTTATCCTCACCTGTTCGACTTCCCTTACGGGGCAAGCCCGTGCTAACTCTTCTCCTCGCTTTATTCTGACGGTTTTATTAGCCGAATTAGTCAGAAGCAGGGGAACGGTCCTTGATCCTTTCACTAATGAACTACATACTGTCACTTCTCCCTCATTATCATCATACCCGTCCGTAGGGGTTACCTGATACAAGCCGTCATTCAGGCTCCCTCTGCTATAATTTTGCCTTCTCCAGATACAGTGGTTCTAGGGGGCAACTCTATATCTGCCTGGGCTACTACAGGTAGCTGCTCATAATTGTCCTCTACTAGCGGTATCTCTACCCCGTCCAAGGTCAGGGTGGCTAGGTCGAAACGGATCTGGGCCTTGTGCTGTTTAAGCCAGTCACTCCCCAGAATCAACTCGCCCCACAAGTCAGGTGCCACATACACTTTCATGATACCTCTAGTCCTTGCTAATTGAAACGGCAGCCATGCCATGCCCTCTATCCTCATCCTACTGCTATTGGCCTGGCTTATGGATAAATCTACTGGCCTCAACTTTCCCCATCTCCCTAGTTGTCTGTAGGTCCTCGAATTAACCAGTGATACTGATGCTCCAGTTTCAACCAGCGCCCTAAACTTCCTGACTCCCAGCAAGACATTGCAGGGGAGATCCGGCCCCCCTCTCAGCAAATGGTATACTCGGGCCTCCCTTCCATCTTCCCTATTCGCCTCCCTTCTGGACCACCGAGAGGCGGGGGCCAGCAACGGGGGTTCCTTATTTCTTCGAGGTCCCATTTCTCGTCTGGGGGCCCTTCTGGCTGGGATGGGGGTTTGGATGATAGCGCCCTTCTGCTCTACCCCTCTGTCCCCCCATTTCATTCCTATCCCGGCCGGTTCGTCTTGGGAGATTCCTTCCCCTGTGGGGGTAGGTTCGCCTCATGTGGCCTGCGCCCCCACAATGCCAGCATCTTCTCCGCTGACAATCAGCCGAAAAATGACTAACCACTCCACACGTCCAACAACTCAGAGGTCTTGCTCGGACTGGGGACACCCTGCCTCTTACTCCTTCACGAGTGACCCAGCGGCGTTTCCCGGGCTTTTTGCTTTCCTGGTGGGTGGTAACAGCCCATTAGTCCGCTTAATACCTAATTTTACGGTCTCCAACCATCGTACACCCCCGAGCTTTGTGCCCGTATCCGCCACAGGTCGTACTGTTGAGTCTCCTCCCCAATTGGTTTGACAATCCCGAGCCCTGTGCCCAGCGTATTTACACGTCCAGCACACTAGCCCATACCGGCCTGGCGTGGATTTATAGAATCCATACCGCAAGTCCCATTCTCGTTTATTCGGATCTGCCTCCAATTCCCAATTTTCCTCTACTTCTTCCTCAGGGTCCCGTGCCCGAACCTGCTCCTTCCTTTTCATTATCTTGGTCCCCCTGGGGTCCCTGGCTACACTGCCCCTTATTCTGTCCCAAAGTCGTTCACTGTTGCGAGCCGCTTCAATGGCCGCCGCCAGAGTGCTCGGTCCTTCCTTCAGGACGTCACCCCGCAGCTCCCTATCGCTCAACGCATCCATATATACGTCGGCTAACAGGGCTTGTATCGGACCACTGTTTCGGATCGCCAGCTCCGGGAAAGCCAGTGCCGCTAAGCCCGCTATTCTTTCTTCCACATCCTCCATGGCTTCCTTATCTCCCTGCCGGAGTCTGAACAACTTCCTAACTGCCTCAATGGCCGTGCGCTCACTGGCGTACTGTCGGACCAGAGCAGACTTCAGCTCTGTCCAAGTTAGGGCTGTGAAGCTACCCACCTCTGCAACTCGTTGCACAAAGACATAGACCCCATATCGTAGAATTTCTGTGCGGCGGATCGAGCGAGAGGCAGGCTCACAGGCAAAAGAAAAACACAGCTACAAACTTGGGTAGGACGAAAAGAGGAGGGAGGGCGTGTGACCTTTTGTGGATAATTAACTCTGGGCTGATTCTCGGCTGGCAAAAAAATATATATCTTAACTAACAATGTCCGGCTGCTAATGTGTCGCTCTTCGTTGTTACTTTCTCCGGCCTGAATCAACCTTCCTCGAACCTAAACTAAGTCTCTCACGAAACCCAAAGCGCTCCCGTTGCTGCAGAGTCCTCTTTCATCATCATTATCGGGCAAGGGACACCCACGAATAAACCCATAACTTTTTCATGACCATTTCTCCTTTTGAAGAAAGTGGACATAAAATATTTCCTAGCCTAGCTGACTCCGATTCAGGGACATTAAATTCAGACCCTTTTAAGTTTTGACCAGAGCCGGTCTTCTCCCTATTCGTCTGTGATATCCGAACCTGCTACGCTCATTCTAACGCCCGATCACTACTAACTTCCTCCTATTCAACAAGAGACAACAGAAAAGGAAAACTCGCCTCACACACTATAGACACTTCAACAGCATGCAATGTTGAAGAAATCGAACACAACAACTGTTCACTGGCAGACTTGCGTGCGACATGCGAACCGAGGGCCCAAAAGGTGACATCTTTCACTGCTCTTCGTTTCCTTGTTCTCTCTTCTTCTTCTTCTTCTTCTTTCTTTTTTTTTCTTCTTCCGAGCCTTTCCGACCGATAGTTTGTAACTACAGTCTTTTTGGTCGTACTTAGCTTTCAGTCCTTTTATTTTATTTTATTTTTTGTACAAGGAATTGCGCTCTTCTCTCTCTGCGTCCCTGGCAAATCCACGGGTCGGAATCCTGTCACAAGGCACCAATTCTAACGTAATAAACCCTGCCTGTTGCAGTTATGTCCTGTCTCCCCGGTGGTTCTGGCCGAAAAAGGAATCCACCCGATCTCCCCCGCCCCCGGTGAACTGAAGGAACCACCACTATTCGCCACGTTGTGAATTCTTGATCCGAACAGCAGTGTATCGGTCTCCCCAGAACGGTCCGGTGGGAAGGGGAGGAAATGGTTGGTTATTACGCTAAAAGGAAATCACTATTCATGCAAAAAAAAAGTTTCTTGTCGTAGCCGCAAAGACATGAAAAAGAAAAAATAAGCAACTCTTTCGGTTCCTGTACAAAGAGCCCTTTTTAGGCCACTGTTTTTATGTCACTACCGAAGAATTTACACGAGTACAAAATGTCATAACGAGATTCACTCGTTTGAGAGAGAGAGAGAGAGAGAGAGAGAGAGAGAGAGAGAGAGAGAGATTTCTGTCTAAACAATTTCAGCTGATCTAAGGGAAGTAATTCGGGGATCTTCGTCGGAGTGTGTAATTATAGCAGTTTGGTTTCTCAGCTTTGTTGGCAAAATTAACTGGTTTCATACAGGGTCTGTTTCTATTTCTGGGTTCGGATCGGACCTCTTGGGCGCGTAACAACCAACCAACCGGACCAATAAATTCCAACAAGCCGTCTCTTCCGCGTTCTGCCGCGTTCTGTGATCTGCCTAACTCAAGCGTGCGGGCATCTTATATATAGAGAGGCGGAGCTAAACCATCTTTAGGCACCGCCCCCGAATTTTAATATGCAAATCGCCTTTGACCACCATCCAAGCTTTTCCGGTCCCCGAAACTCAGCGGGAACCCAGTTTTCAAGAGATACTAAAATCGGATTCGAGCCTCTTGCTGGGTCTTCCGCAGACAACGTCTACTTGAGTTTTAACAAAACCACTTATCCCGTCTGGTTGAATTCCGCCATTCAGACCACCCAAAAGTCCAATTCGCCATTTATCACAAACTTTAACGAATCCGTCTCTTAATCACTCTGGAATTATTACATTTAATTAACTAATAACTCAACCCCAGAAACAATTATTAAGAGAAAAAAAAAACAAGAAAAAAAAAAAAACAAAACAAAACTTATTTCTGGAATTACTCCAGAATCCCTTCTACCCAAGTAATTAGCACCTCCATCCTAATTCTTTAGCACTGTTGATTAAATCCACCTCGGGGTGGGGTGGGGTCTCTCTCTCTATGTCACAGATCAATAAGTTATGAAGATAAAAACAAAATTGGTAACTGTTGGATAATATAGACATTGTAAAAAATGAAAGTCTAACAGAAGTTACTTCCCATCGAGAACAATATGATCTCGTGTTTAAAGTTTAATGGAGGTAACAATATTTTTAGGCTACAAAATAAATAGCATAAAATTCGAGATAAATCTTCATATCACTCCCTACAAATTGCTGTCTTGAAATTTTTTCACATTGGTTTGGTTATTAGTTCTCAACTTTGGCCCATGATGCAAATAACTTGGCAAGAAAATGTGGAAAGTGGTTTATAAGAAATACAAAATAATTTGAATGGTTCATATGAAGACACTCTGAAATAGTTATTTTTTTTTATATAAAGGCACTCTCGTTTAGATATAGATGCAAATGTTGGAGGATTTAGGAGTGTTTTAGTTCCTTTGCACCACAACATTTATAGTAAATTGCCTTAAGCAAAGACACTAAGCAACATGGAAAAATTCACAAGGCCCAAACAATTTAATATGGATTCAAATTCATTTGAGGCTGCAAAACCATACATATAATGGTTGAGAAATTTTAATAATTTCATAAAATCTCTGGCTGCAGAATCTTAACCTGCTCGTCACTTACATGGAATCTAAATGTTTATGCAAAATATCATGAAACCCAGAAGATAATATAAATTAAATCAAAGATTTGCATTTTTGCTTGTCATTTTTTCACAATGTATAAACAACAGTTAAGTGACATTTCTAGTTGAACTAAAAACTCTAGCAACATTTGCAATTTTATAAATGTCATGATTGAGTAATATAAATCTGAATCCATTCCTGGTGTTTTCATCAATGGCATCATGGCAATCAGGAGACTGCAAGGACAGTTTGGAAATAAACCTCTAGACTTGATTACTGCATTTGCTTCTGCTGGATTAATAAATTTTGCCAACAATATTCAAAGAACATGGGTCTCCAAAGTGGACGATATCAACTCCTTGGGGTTGATGGGACTATTCAATGGATTGCTAAATGCCTAGTGGTTGGAAAGGGGTCAATAAATGTCGAGGATGTCAATTGAACTTTGTGGGTTGAATGCTGAAATTCGTATAAGATTTAAAAATACATAAAATACAACTTGCTGATATATATATTGCTGACCATCTAACATACTTCATGTATACACAAACCTACAATCACATAGAAGTAGCAGCAGCAATTCTTTTATTTATGGCATCATTAAACATTGCAGAGACTGAATCCAACTGAGGGTAGAATTCTAGAGGGTGAACATGCAAACACATAGAAACATTGAAACCACTACACACACAGAGAGATATATATATATATATATATATATATATATATATGAGACACATACAATTCTCAGCTTGGTCAACTTGCTGTTGAGATAGATCAGCTCAGCACCCAATCCATAGCACATGCTTGCTGGCCAAAGGTCAACATCAGATGGCCATTGGTGCCAACAAGTAGAGAGTCACTCAGTGTTTTTTCAACACCCTTAGCTATTGGAGTCGTGTTAGTGAACTGATAGCTCTGCATTTAGTGTATAAATTTGCCCATTTCTACAATGGTGGCCACTAATTCTAAGAAGAAGTGTGGATAATATTCACAAGAGTACTTAAAATTTGGATATGTACCTTCATTTACTAATGAAAACAATGTCCATGTGCTTGTTACGCAAAAAAAAACTTTCAGTAATGATGCCATGAAACCTGCGAAGATGAAAACTCAGTGTATTCTAAAATCTCTACAAAAGATGAATTATATTTTCATGATTGTTGATCTTTTTTAACACCTTTTTTGGTTGTAAAACAAAAAAAAATGGAGTATTTTGTTTGGATTGTAAATATGATAGAAACTATCTCACTTCATTATTTACATTATTCGGACTATTGTCCTCGTCTTTGTCCCCATATTTATTACAACGGGTAACAAACAACAAAATATCGAGAAAGAGGCGACTTTTTCCCAAGACGCAGTTTGGAACACGATAGAAACATTCAAATACTCGCTATTTCCGGGACTATTTCAGACGTCATGAAGACATCTTCAACATCGATTGCGAAAATTGGACGGAAGCTAAGAAGCTACGTCTATTACTCAGGAAATTGGGAACAGAGGAATACACAAAATTTGTGGATTATGTTTTGCCAAAAAAGACAAACGATTTAACATTTGACGAAGCAGTTACATGCCTTACGGAGCTCTTCAGTCCAAAGACGTCACTTTTTCACAAAAGGTGGAAATGTCTTAACCTCGTAAAAGGTGAAAATGAGGACTACTCCACGTTCGCCGCAATCGTGAACAAACATTGCGACGACTTTAAGTTAGCAGAATTAACTCCGGACAATTTTAAGTGTCTTATTTTTGTACAAGGGTTAGTCTCAGCCAAAGATAGTGAAATGCGCAAAAGAATGCTTTCAAAACGAGCCTGGATTAATACTACAAAAATTGTCAGAAGACTTCCAAAAATGTTTGAGTATAAAGAAAGACTCGAAGGACATCGAGGTCAGGAGTAGCACACATACGTAAGTTGAACAAAAGTTTACGATTTTAAGGCATCCCAATGTAGGAACAAAAATACACTAGTAGGATAAGAGCTACTAGAATGCATGACGAAGACAATATTAACATAAGAAAATACGTGGAACTCGAAATTTTAAATAAGAAGATAAAATTACAATTAGACTCAGGTTCGGATCTTATGATAATTAACCTACAAACATGGAGAAAGCTTAATAGACCGACCATGATGCATACACAGAAAATTGCTAAGTCTGTTTCAGGGAAGCGTATAAAATTCGAAGGAGAAGTAATCCTAAATGTAAAATTCCACGGAAAAATAAAAAACAACTCAAAATATTCGTAATGAAAGATACAGAAAATCTGGTGGGCACAGACTGGATGCAAAAATTCGACGTATGGGATTTACCTATCAGCTCTTTTTGTAAGAAAATAGAATGCGAATCGTCAGAAGTTACAGAATTAAAGGAAGAATTACACAGTCAATTTCCCGAAGTATTCTCGAGCGGGTTGGGACAATGTAAAAAGTTTGCAGCTAGAATTGAATGAAAAGAAAATGTCCAAACAGTATTCAAAAAGAAGCGAAACGTACCTTTTGCTATTATAGAAAAAATTGACAAAGAATTAGAGAGACTGGTACAAACTGGAATCCTTTCTAAAATCGAGTTCAGTGAATGGGCGTCACCAGTAGTCTACGTAAAGAAAAAATCCGGAGAAATCCGTGTTTGCGCAGATTTCTCGACTGGGTTAAATAAGGCTATAAAAGATCATCACTACCCATTATCAAGTTTTTAAAAGACTTCAGGATTTGGGATTTAAAGTAAAGGAGAAAAAAATGCGATTTTTTCCTAAATGAAATCAAATATTTAGGCCATATATAATTAATGAAAGTGGCAGAAAACCAGATCCAGATAGGGTATCTGCAATAGAAAATATGCCTGAGCTGAAAAATGTCGCAGAATTGCCAAGCTTTCTTGGTCTAGCGAACTATTACGGTGAATTCATTGAAAACGTGCACAAATTGAGGGCTCCCCTCAATGAATTAATGAAAAAAGAGAACAAATGGAATAGACGGAAGACTGTCAAAAAGCGTTTAATAGAGATAATACAAAAATTA